ATTACGACATGCAACTCACACAGGTGAGAAATGATGTCAAATTGAGTAACTCTCCCAGGAACCGTCACGCTGACGCCTGTGGTGGTGGGTGAAGAAGGGGAGAAGATCGACGCCAAGAATTTGAACGGAACTGGATGGGCGGTCAGGGATACGCGAGGAAATCTTGAGAAGATGAAAGGCCGCTTCCTCACCTTCCCTCTTGGCCCCAAACACCTCCAAGACTGTCTCGGTGTGGATGCTGGATGATTTGGGACCGCCTGCGGAAATAATCATCTGCGCGGACGTCGGCGGCCAGGAATGCTGGTGCGGGTGGGTCTGCGGACATGGAAGATTTGCACTCCTCAGATCTTTTCCTTAGAGGCCTGTTCTCTAATTGGCGGATGCTACAATCCCTTCTTCTTCAGCTGGGGCACGCCCCTGTGGCTCCTCCTTGCACCGGCTGGCCCCGGCGACCTTTCTCGCATGTTGGTGCTTGGCCAGACCCAAACATCACCCTCTGCCTGCTCTCGGACCCGCATTGATGGAGCTCAGTTGGACTGCTGGACTGCATTCTTCCTTGCCGGACAGCCCCGCCGTCTCCATGCTGAGTTCCCCAAGTTGAGTGTGATGGGCTGTGGTGGGTGTTTTACTCTGCTGTACTAATTTGCTGGTGCAGAAGGAGGGTACATCCTGCGTTGGCGCCTAGGGTTTAATCCCCCAGGCGGCTGCAGGATTTTGTTATGCCTTGGGAACTGACAAAGAAGCTCATGATGAGCAAGGACGCCTAATGGAGAAGGGGAAGGAGAACAGACTAGAAAAGCGTACTAGCTAGACCCGGGTGAAGGGATGCGATGAATTATATGTGCCTGGAGGGATGTCAAGAACTGTATGTGGGTGGAGGACGGTTTGACTGGCTCCTAGGGCGGGTTACTGGGGATTGCGATGCCTGGAGATCACAGCACAAAATATTAAGGATAAACTTTGCCCAACAGAGAATGGCTATATTTTGCAGTATTAGGAACGACTTATGGTCTGAGGTTGGACAGGTGCTAATGTTAACTTTTTTGGGGCGTGTAAACTATTAGCTGAATAAAACTGATCACCTGCCTGTGAACGATTCCGCCAGACCAGGTCCGCTCTCTCCCTTGCTCCATTCCCCGGCCGATAATCGGTTGATAATGGGCCCAAAAATGAATCCAAGTCAAGGGCAACTGACCTGTCTGGAGAGAGAGTAGAGGGTTGCAACGGGAGGGGAAGTATACCTGTTCTTTCATTCTACTAAAAAACTTAATGTCTTGTGTTAGATTGATAGTTACAAAAGTACAACTCAACCTCGGTCAACTTTTCAAGCTATACGCTGTTCATTCACCCCTATGTCACCAACTCATATCTCCTTATACGCCTGGGATACCGCCCAACAATCCGCGGCATGTGTGGTGCAAGCAGAATTGGTTTCTTACGGAACGCGTGCGGCCGGGCCAGCTTTGTTAGGGTTGGACTGGATCAAGGCTCCCTCTACTCAATCGTGCTCTGGTGGATTCACCCCGCGCTGGAAATTACGGTGCCTCACTGCAAAAGCTCGTTGCTCAGCGTGTTGCCAAACTAACAGCGGCAATGATGCTTCTGGGTGCTTGCGAGGATTGCCTCAATCTTGAGTAGCTGCAAAAACAACCCAATGACTATAAGGCCTCCAAGGAGTATGCCCACTACAGAGACAATTTTGAGACAGTTGCGAAAATGCTTGGGGAGGAGCTGATTGGCTACCACCTTGAGGACTGTCACGGAGAGGAACTTGTGGGCGGCATTGCGAAGGAAATTGGAGGGCGGAACGCAGCCAACGTGAATACTGGGACCTCAAACGACGACACATCTACGTCATTGAAAGCTTTAAATGCTGACCTCAATGTTACGCTTGCCTCGTGCCACTCTAATCTTTACTTCTTGTACTGCATGAAGGCGTTCATACAAGCCCATTCTGAAAAGAACTGGATCCCAATGTCGCTTATACACCTTCACGGTTCTGTTTGGAGGAGATCGGGCACTCTTATTCCAACAACGGCTTCGGTGGACGGCACTTGGCCAGGAATGATGGGGTGGTTCCAAGGGGATGTTTTACAGCAGAGGCACCGCCCCTGTGGCAGGCAAGGGAAGCTGCGGAGCTTGGGCCCTTCCAAGTGGACGTCAAGTTGGAGGTGGTTGAGGAGCCGGACCGCGCAGTGGGGCTCCTCGTCAAGGTGACAGGGTCAGCAGTTTGTTTCCTGGATGAGTACTCAGACCTCATCAGCTCGCTAATGCTTAAAGAGTTTACTTGACCCTCTGGCCGACAGCTCAACTGGGATGGTTCACGGCGGACGCATGCGGGCGGGCGGCAGTCGAGGGTCAGTGACACAACTTGCACGGGTGTGTATTCAATTGTCATCTGGTGGGTGCACCCGGGGCGGCCAAGTACTATAGCCCGGCGGTTCAGGATCTGATACTTCAGACCTTTGAGGACCTCCCGAACGTGATGACGCCCTGTGTGTGGGAAAGGAACGTCTTGGGTAGCGAACCTCCAAGAGCGCGTTCACGTGTATGAGACCTCCCTGAGCAAGCAATGCACCGAAAGCGTTTCATAAAAGTTTGCGGAGAAGCTTGTGCAGGAAATCGTGGGCGTGTCAGAAAAGATCGCAGTTTCCCAAAGGAAATAGAAAGTCCAAGTCCAACAGGTCTAGTATCCAATGTCCGGGATAAGCATTCCTAGTGGTCCAAGGGAACAGCACCGCAATCCAAACCCACACCCAGAAGCAGGTACCGATCAAGGTGGGGGAGGGAGGATTCAGGGGCTCGGCTCTTCACAATGCGTCCGGCACAATCGGCTCCCGCCGGTGGGGGACAACAGGTACAAGCGGCTCACTTTTTCAAGGATACAGCGCGAGTGGCTGTTGGCCAGTGATCGGGTTTATTATAAGGCCTTCTTGGCCCTCTACTTTGAAAGACACACACAAGTAACTAACTAAATCATGGACCACTGCATAAATGCCAAGAACAACAAGCCGACTTTACCAATAGCATAAATATAACTGATACATTCTGATTAGCTGAGCAGTATAAAGCTGCTTTAGCGCAACGGTTTTATGGCAAGCTTAGAAAAGCAGAGAAGGCGATGTTTTAGATTTTCAGCCACGAGCTGTGAACTCCCATGGTTGTTTCCTGCTAGGGTTTGCTCAGCCAGGTCAAGCCTAGGCGGCTCGGTCGTGTACCAGGCTGGCTAAGCCTGACTGAATTAGGAGCAATGCAGCCACCGGATTTTTGCTAAGTCCTGTGCTAGTGTTCCTAGTAAGATATTAAATAATAATTGTTATGCACCATGCCCAGAGGCATGGGGCCCGTGAAAACTGGTCAAGATGAGGTCTGGATTTACCATAAGTCTTTCACTTCTATGGAAGCGAGTGCTGCGTGGATTGGAGTGAGATTTATCGCTGGTTCGTGGATATTGTTCATTATTCATTTATTGCTGTGAATTCTCACAAGCAGAGACAGCTCGCAAAGGGATGATCCCAAAGCGTAGATCCAGTGAGGGTGGATGAGGTGGAGGAGATTGGTGGGGTTGAGTTGGAAAGTGCGGCGGTTCCCGTGTTTGGCAGGCAAAAGCTTACGAGTGGGAGGAGAGAAAGGATTTCAGCGGACATAGGGGGCGTCCTGCCCACTGCTTCACCGGCAGTCGTTTCCACTCTTGACCCAGACGTCTACCGCCACTTCAGAACCCCGAGAGCGTTGGTCGGTGCTCTCTCGATAGTCTCAAAGGCGCGGAAAGTCAGGCTAGACTTCGACCTCCTCTCCCTGGCCGAGCGTCGTGAGCTCCTCCAAGAAGTCGAACAAGCTGAGGGTCAGCGGCTTTGAGTCGCTCACCCGGTCATTATGAAGCGCGAGGGGAAGTTTGTGGCCGAGGTCGGAGAGACCATCGACGAGCAGCTGGTGCGGAGTGAGCGATCACGCGCCCGTGATCTGTGGAATGTCAGGAAGTTGCCAGAGCAGGTCTTCTTGAGATGCCTGATCTGCGGCCTCCTGTGTTGCAAGCAGCCGACAACGGACGGACAGGATGTTGTCCACCACGCCGTGTCGCCCCCGTGCATCGCCAAAATGCAGAAAAGGATGGCACTGGGTCCCTCAGCTCCCGGAGGCGGAGGATGCTGAGACGGAGGGGCGTCCGGCGGAGCCCAAGTCCCTATACATTCAGTGGCTCAAGGAGGAGGTTGCGAGGATGGTGGGCATGAAGGTGACGTTCACGCAGTGGGAGGGGCTGACGAGGTTCATTGCCTTCGCGAAGCGGGCGGGGCCGGCCGCAAGGATAACTTTCGACCCCCTCTCGGCATCATTGGTGCCAAACTCGCGCGGTGTGCACCCCTACCCTCAGTTTGCGTTCGTCATAAAAAGCTGATTGAGAGGGCGGCCACGGGTGGAATAGGACTTCCGTGTCGGATTTTGGCGGAGCAAATTGAGACGACGAGCGCAGAGACGCGCAGGTGGAACCAGTACATCGCAGTCCCTGACTTGTCAAGGAAGGGACCAGCGAAGAGGACGATCAAGACAGGCAGCAAGAGGTGGGACTTCACGTTGATGAACGTTGATGGAGTTGGGAGTGGAGTGTGTTGATCGTGCTTTTCCAGTTTCTGCATTACCTTTCTGTTTTCCTTTTCTCCATTGACTTTTAGAGCGCTTCAGCTTCTGTTTGAACTTCTCATCATGTAACTCTGAACTCCAAGACCCTTGGATACTAGCTTTTCTCTTCTAACGCTCAACCTGCATGTATGCTCAAAGTTCGCTTTTCTTCCAGAAAACAACAATTTTTACCCGACAATACCACTCAACTTCTTTCTCTTATTCCAACGTTTTACTCTTTTATTATCCCGCTTGCAAAACATCTACGGAACAAAAATGGAGGGCGTTTCACTGACATTTATGATTAAATGATTTTGTGGCTGTGGAGCCGAGACATCGTTGCTTGAAACGTCTGGTGGCCCAAATTTAAAAAAATTTGGGTTAGCCCAAGGTGGGGATCGAACCCACGATCTCATCCTTAGAAGGGATGCGCGTTAACCACTTCGCTACTCGGGATATGTCAAACTTTCACATTTTAGTGTTCTATTACATTATTTCGCTCTGGCCACCTTAACCTCCACGTTGGATGCCACTGCGCGCGAGAATGTTTCCTTTAAAATCGTATTTATGTTTGCTCTGCTTTCTTCACTTCATTTATTAGCCTGCTAAATGCAATAACTTTTTCAAAAGTCCCCGTTTAAATATTTGTAATTAATAAATCAAAGCAGCCAGCACAGCTACAATAGACAAACTGTTTTGTTTCGTTCACCAACCATAAATAACGTTCAAAACCCTGCTCCACATGCTCTGGCCCCTAACCATCGGCGCCTTATCATCTTCATCCTCGTAAAGCACCCTGCTGCCACTGTCGAAGTGCTCCTCGTCAGCACTCTCCTCCAAGGCAACCCGACCACCTCTCATCTGCCCGAACAGTCCGTTCTTCCCGCCGGCAACCCTCATGACGACAATTCTCGCGCCGCCGACCTCTTGGCCCTCTAGCTCCAACGCTCCCGCGCACCCGATCTCGTCCGCATACGTAACGTCGACAGTCATGGTGCCACCGGCGCTCTCCATAGATATCCCCTCCGAAACGATGTCACCGCGGGACGACAGGAGGCGCAGGACTTGGGTTTTATGCGGGGACGGAAAGATGGCTCGCACTGTCGTGGATGGCGGAGGCGGGCGGAGCGGTGAGCGGCGCGGCGGGCTTATGTTCAAAGGGTGCGGTGACGCTCGGAGCGAATCGTCCCAAAGTCGCGGGGAGGAGCGGACGGGGGAGGAGCGGACGGGGGATGCGCGGAGCGGCGAATCTCGAAGGACCGAAGCTGTCGTCCGAAGCGGGG